CGCTCGCGCGTGCGCGTGTGTGTGTGTGTTTGTGTGTGTGTGTGTGTGTGTGTGTTTGTGTGTGTATGTTTAAGAGAGGGTATGATATTTTCTCGCCTGTGAGCGTATGTAAGAAAGAGTGCTTTTGCATGTGTGTGCGAGAGAGAGAGAAAGATTTTGTTCGCGTAAGTATGAGAGAGACAACATCTGCATGTGTATATGAGAGACAGAGATTCTTTGTGCGTCTCTGAGAGAGAGCGATTGCATATGTATGTTCGTATGTATAAAAAAAAACAATACTTTTGCTGTGTGTGTCTGTGAGAGAGAGAGAGAGAGAGAGAGCTTTTGTGCGTGTGAAGAGGCCGTTTGCAACCGTCAGAAACAAAACACTTTTCCTTGTGTGTATGTGTATGTGTGTGTGAGAGAGAGAGAGAGACAAAGAAAGACATCTTTTGCGTATGTAACAGAATGCTTTCTTTGCGTGTATGAAAATGAGAACTTGTTTTTGTGTGTGTATGCAATAGAGAGAGAGAGAGAGAGAGAGAGAGAGAGAGAGAGAGATTTTGCTATTGCGTCTGTCTGTGGACAGACTGTTGTTTAAAAAACTATTAAAATTATTACGCAACATAAATGAAATCTATTTCAATTTCAGTATGACTTACGGTATAATAATTTCTCAAAATCCCTAAAAATAATGTTAATTAATTTCTATTTATTTATTTTGAGAATAAGAAACAGAAATATGTATTCTTCCGCCAATTTCATTTGGCAATTCTCACCAAATCGTTCGCGTTCAATTCATTTGAAACGCAAAGGAATAAAAAAAAAAAAAAAAGAAATGAAAAAATAAGAAAATAAACGGCTTTCTACTTTCTAAGATTTAACAATTATTATGCCAACTTTTTTTTATTATTATTATTAAATTGCTTTTAAATTCATCTTTTTTCTCTTTTTTTTTCTCTTAGGATTTAAATATTTGAGCGATAAATTATTTTATTTTTATGTGTGATGAATGGTTTCACTAGTTTTTGAAATTTTTAACAAAAAAATGAGTGCTTATTTTTATATTAATATATAAACACTAGACATTTAAAATGATTTTAATTTTTACAAAATAATTATATTTTTCGAATAAAAATCAGTTTCGACACTTGTGTAGCTCATTTCAAATATTTAAACTCCCGACATGCAATTCGAGTAGCAGACGCCGTCATTTCAATTTCTTTTGTGCATCGCATGGACATTTGCTTATAATCAAAGGTAATGACTTTACAAGTTTACGTTCTTCCACAAGCATAAAGCTTTTAAAAGACTACTTAAGTATTTTCCAGTAATGTAATTATAGTTACTAATCTTTGCAAAGGGGAATATATTCCATCTTTGTCCTCGTCTCCGAAATTGAAAAGTTTAAAAGAATAGAAACTAGTGGGGCATAACGGGTCGATTTACTTTTTTGACTGTTTTAAAAGAATTTATTTTTCATTTTAATTTAACGATAAGGAAAATTTTTTAAATTTACACAGATTTTCATTACAGAAATATTTTTTAATGTCCATTTATTTGTTCAAATACGAATTTAGAATTTAAAGCAGCCCCCACACAATAATAATAATAATAATAATAATAGATTAGATGAATATATTTATATTTATATGTCTATATATATATAGATGTATATATATATTTTACTTAAATAGTTTTACTTAAATAAAATTTTTATATTTGTTGTATTATGTATGTGCATATAAATATAAGTATACACAGTTATTTATGAATAAATATTGTCTTCTCTACCGATTAAATCAGAGAAATTTTTCATACACAGTTATATATATATAAATATATACAAACAGATTTTAGTATATACATAGATACATATACATGCACATACATATACATATACATATATATATATATATATATATATAGAGAGAGAGAGAGAGAGAGATGTGAAGAGATAGATAGATAGATAGATAGATAGATAGATCTGAACAGACAGAGAGAGAGAGATCAGAACAGATTGAAATAGATAGATAGATAGATAGATAGATAGATAGATAGATATGAACAGGCTGAGATAGATAGATAGATAGATATGAACAGGCTGAGATAGATAGATAGATAGATAGATAGATAGATAGATAGATAGATACATAGATAGGTAGGTAGGTAGGTAGGTAGGTAGGTTTAAAAACCTGTTAGCCATTTATGATTGAGTTGAATTGTGATAGATGATAAATATTATATTTCACGATAAATTTTAACATTAAGCAAATGAAATAAATAATATGCAATTCTTTATAAAACCTAAAAATGCTTAAAAAGCAAAAAGTGCAAATAAAACCTTCAGATATGTAAAATCACATGTACACTTTTTATTTGAATATTTATTAAGCATATTGATTTGAAACATGAAAAATGGAATTGTGAGACAGAGTTCAAATTCTGGCAAAGACAATTCATGCTTCCCTTGCACTAATGCACTTGTGAAAGGCATGAAGAGCTCTTTTACTTTCTCTGTCCAGTTATGGATTAAACATTAGGGTAACTTGATTGACAATCAGTGAATGCATATGATTCTGTGATACTCAGAGTAGAGGTAATCTTAAGATAAGTGAAAAAAATGTATTCTTTTTATTTATTATCTATGTTCTCTCTTAATATCTAGCATTATATTCACAAAGAAGGCTTGAATTAAAAACATTGTTTTCTAGAATTAAACTGATCGCCACTATTTTTCAGGAGTAAATACAATCCTTGTTATTGCTGCAGCTATAATTCTTACTATTTGTGTATATATATATATATATATATATATATATATATATATATATATATATATAAATGAAAAATATAGTCTTGGAGGTACTATATTTATGGGATAAAGTGCTCAATATCAGAGATAGAAGTATTGTAAAAATAAACTTTACATTAAAGTCAAACTTAGAGGTGACAGGCTGTTTCATAAACACAATTGTCAAGCCATATATTTTATATATATATATATATATATATCATATATATATATATATATATATATATATATATATATATATGTCATGCCATATATATATATATATATATATATATATATATATATATATATATATAATATAATATGACAATTGCATCTAGCATGAAACAACCTGTCACCTCTAAGTATTGACTTCTGTTCACACTTTATATTTACACACTCTATATCTCTGATATTGATTTATCCCATAAATATAGCACATTTAAGACTATATTTCTATATATATATATATATATATATATATATATATATATATATATATATATATATTTCAGAGATGAGGGTATTATGTACACTATTTACATAATTCTATTCTCCTCATCTTTGTCGCCATATTTATTACAACGTTTCGGCCCTTTAGTATCTGTCTATATTTCTGAGATGAGGTATTATGTACACTATTTATATTATTTGGTCTATTGTCCTCATCTTTGTCGCCATATTTATTACAATGTTTCGGGTGTTGTACGTTCCAGCCTTCTTCAAGGACACATGGCACAGTGGATAAAGATATTGGTTAGATCCAGTGACAGGACCCAAAGAATGGGAGTTCAATACTGGGTTAAGGCAGTGGAGAACTTTGAGAGGGGAATTAACAGGAGATAACTGATAACTGACATCCATCAGACATGGCACGTGGAACTAGAACAGTCTACCCCAGTGAGTGAAATAAAGAGTTCAGTTCGTCATTCGAAACACCTGAAGAAGGCCAGAGCATACAATGGCTGAAACATTGTAATAAATATGGCGACAGAAATTGGGGCAATAGTCCGAATTATGTAAATAGTACATATATATATATATATATGTCTCTGTGTGTACATATATATATATATATATATATATATATTTCATGAGAGTTTAAAAAACACCTCTCAATCTTGAAGACCTACAAAAAAAAAGTTTTGTTTTTGTTTGTACGTCTTAAAGATTGAGAGCTGTTGCTTTTTAGACCTCTCATGAAATAAAAAGTATTATGGGATTTTAAGTGTTTGTTATTCTTTAATTAATAATAATTTTGCTCTTGTCATGGAGCTCTCCCTTGACCTATATCCTACTGGAATTTCCATTCACATAACCACATTGTATTATTACAATATATATATACATATACACACACATATATATATATATATATATATATATATATAAAATCTCAGGATTTCATCCTTCTTGGGATTACCCATACGGATTACCAAGTTCTTCATAACTTAACTATATATATATATATATATATATATATATAATATTATAAATTAACTGATTTAAAACATGGTTTTTTCACTACACAGTAATAACCATGTTTCAAAAATGGAAGCTAAAAACTTTAAATTTAATTTATAATTCATCTATAACTTTATAATTTCCTGTTTCCAAGGATACAGAGAAATCCAATCATTCAGACAGGGGCGGTAGCGGGTTCATTTTTATTAGCTATTTTTGTATCAATTATGAGGTACGTTCAAAAAAGAGGTTAAATTTAGGGAGGGTAGGAGTGTATTTTTTTCAATGAATTCTGACATCCATTAAATGCATGTCGTCTGGGTTTTTTTTATTATCATTAACAGTAAAAAGTTTTTCGGCATTTTTTTCTTACTTGTATATACTTAAAGATTCTTTCTAGGAGTGTTTAAATGGATAGAATACGTTTTATTTAACTAGAATTTTAAAATATTTTTACACTTAATTACTAATAGACTATATTTCTTTTTAAAAACAAGTAAATGTAATAGAATTATTTACATTATTTAAAATTATTTTTTCATATCAAATATAAGTATGTATATTACCAGCTCCCATTTTTTTTATTTTATTTTTAAATATTATTTAAGGAAAATTTTTGACAATGACAGCAAAGAATAGCTATTTCATTTCTTTGATTCAGTAAATTTTATTTTTTATAAATTTAGTAATATATAGTTTCTCATGTATGCCCAAAGGAGATGGGTCATTTAATGACCTCCATATTCTAGCTTTTGTTATTAAATTCCATTTTACTGTAGGTGTTTTATTGGTTTCTTTTAAGTGCCAGAAATACTTCAATAGGGATGTCTGATTTCGGTATCTATTTATCCTAAATGAAGTTTGATGTTGATTGAACCGCTTTTTGAACTGATGGCTTGTGCAATCTATATAGATTTTTATGTTTTCAGGATTCTAATGATTCCGTGTGACATTTATTTTGTAGAGGACAGTTATGAGGATTTCTACAGTTACATAATTTTTGTTTATCTTCATCTGTTTTTATTTTTATTTTTATATTGTCTAGATTTCTTTGGTCTTGGTCTAAGTGTTTATTGAAGATATTAGCATTATGTTTCTTAATAATTTTTTCTAAGTTTTCAGTACAGCTGTAACTTAATTTTAGTGTATTTTTATTGAAAATAGTATTTAGTTTACTTTCTCTAGGAAAGTGCTTAACTATTAATGCAAGGAATTTTTGTCCTAATTTGTTCTTTACCATTTGGTTGTATGGGGGGGAGGGTATACCAAATTATTTTTCTACTTCTGTTTTTTCTATGCTTTCCATTTTCCTTTTATATATAAGTTAGTTTTGGGCTTTTGTAGCCACTATCTTTTAGAGCTTTATTATAAGAATTAATATGTTCACAGAAAATCTTCTCATTTGCTGAATTTGTACTTATTCTTTTTCCGATAGATAAAGGTATATGCTTAATTATAGATGGAGGATGATTTGATTTAGGGTGTATATATAAAGGATTGGTATTGGGTTTTTTATAAGGTATGTATAAATTTTTGATTAATTCTAATGTTATATCAAGGAAGTTAAGTTTTTTTAATTTAGTGCTTACTGTAATTTTTAAGTTCAGGCATTTAAATTCTTTATATAATATCTTTCTAATTTTAGTTCCTTATAACCATAAGTCCATTGTCTCTGTATAAACCAATGTCAGTTATACTAATTTCAATGTGCGCTGTAAGATTGTATAATATAAAAGACCTATGAGATCAGAAGAATTAGCTGAGTCTAGTGATCCCATTGTGATGTCAAAGTGGTCATATCAATTTTTTATCCTTTGCTCACCTTTATATCAGTTTTGATTTTTTCAATTTATGATAATGCCCTTTTCTTCTTCAGTAACATCCATTTACTGGGTAGCAAATTTCTTTAGATATTGATTGATAATAATTTTCAATATCAAACTACATTAGTGGACAGTTCGTTTTCTCCTTTATATTAGCAAACCAGTTTGTCACATCTTTGGTAATAATCCAAAGTTTCAGGCTTATTTTTCTTTAATTTGTTGATTTACCCTTTCAAAGATCATTTTACTAATTTTTCCAATATCAGGTCTTGTAGTGGGATACATAATTCGGACCACTGCCCCAATCTGGTTTGTGGTCCTTTAAGGTTATATAGCACTCTCTTTCATTTAGTTGACCTACTCTATTGCTAATGTTCAGTTTATCTGTGATTTTTTTTTACTGCTCGTATTAATATTCTCCACCATGTTGAGGTCATTATTATTTGCCTTTTTATAGTTCTTATGTCAATCCTTATTTACTAGATCGCTGTAGTCCTTTGTCGTTAATTTATAGAAGTTTCTTGTTTTGTCAGATTTCACTAAAATTTTATCTGTTGTGTTAATGTCTTTTACTATTTTATCCAGGCGTTTTAGAAATATATATATATGTGTATATATATATATATATATATACACACATCCACATTTACAGAGCTATAAATAGGTGTACATACTTATTAAGGTTTATATTTACTTTTTATTCACTCCACCCCACATAAATGAAAATGACTGCCCTACTACAGTGCAGTATAAATATCAATATTTAAATTATGTAACGGTCAGTTTTCAATGTGCACCTGACAATTGTGTTGCGCATGAAACTTAGAGTTGTACTACCGGTGAGGAGAAATCTATATTTATTATTAATATCTATCTATCTATCTATCTATCTCTCTCTCTCTCTATATATATATATATATATATATATATATATATATATTAGTGATAATAGGACAAAGTGAAAAAAGCCTTTTAATGATGTATTTTGCCGACAAAATTGAAATTGTGGTCAGATGTATTATGGTGAACTGCCTGTGTATTTTAGAGCGCTGTTATGCAGCATAACAACACCTTAAATGCACTGGTGTTCACCGAAATACATCTGTGCACAATTTTGATTTAATAAATGTGAGTCTGATCAGGAGAAAAAAAGCAGAAAATGCATTGAAAGTGCACTAATCTCACAATTCTCTACAATAAACCCTAAGACTAGGACCATGCATAGTATCAACGATCGTCACAAAGCAATAATAGCACAGTGCAGTACAGTTCAACCTTTCTAATCCACCACTCCATGGTCTAATTATGGTTACTACATGGGGAAAATAGTGTATTGTCAGTGAAAACTTGCTCAATCCAATGGTGTTATTGCGCTCCTTGTTAAAATCCCATGGAAATACCTAGCTACCCATTCAGAATGGATTTGGGCTCTGAAAGGTGAACCTTACTTTCTCACTCGTGGAACTCTCTTCTGCTTTCTTGCTTCCCATTCAACTTTGATCTTCAAAAATTTAAATGCAATATCAATCGTTATCTTCTATCTTCATCTGAGACAATTTTGATCACCAGAATCTGTCTTACATATTTATAAGTCTCCCATTCACCCTTGCTTTGAATATTCCTGCTACATCTGGTCTGGTGCTCCTGTTATATATTTAAAGATTCTTGATAAAGTCCAAAGAAGAATCTGCATCTTGGTTTCAGTCCGTTTCCCAGCACCATAACATAGCTTCCCTCTGCCTTTTCTATAAATACTTTCATAGTAATTGTTCTTATGAACTTTCTGCTATGAAAACGAATTGTAAATATGGGGACTAGTTAGTATTTTCATAGAGACAAAGAGGTATTATGGTGGTTGTAGTAAGAAAGGTACCAATGAATGTGTTGTTTTGGTGTAAGGAATATTGTTTCGTAAGATTGGGTCAGTGTTTGCGGCTAGCTAAGTTATAGTTAAGACAGAAGAAGACCGTCCTTTCCCCAATCCCCTTTTCGGCCTTGTGCCACATTTCTGTATTAAACAAAATAAATATCACTTTCTGCTATGATACCTAGACTTTATGAATTTAAGTGCAGTACTAGATTGGCGGCAAGGTCTCATCATTTTACAGTTGAATTGGTTAAATATAACTGTAAGTTTTATGCTAAAAGTTTATTCTGTCTCACTTCTCGCATGTGGAACCCTCTTCCGGTTTCTTGATTCCCAGTCAACTTTGATCTTCAAAAATTTAAATGCAATGTCAATCATTATCTTCTTGTTCTTTATTGTCCTCTCTCATTAACAGTAGTTTTTCTCATAATTTCTAACACTCAGAAATTCCTTGCATCCTAGTGGCTTTATTGCCTTGCTTAGGGTGAAATGATTAAAAAAATAAAATGTCTTAATCTAACAAGATTATTTAAGAACATAACTTGTGTTTTTAGGTTAATATTTCGTATTTGTAGCAACATGTAGTGTTGTGTGAAACTATCCCTAACCCTAATCTTACTTTCTCACTCGTGGAACTCTCTTCTGGTTTCTTGCTTCCCATTCAACTTTGCTCTTCAAAAATTTAAATCATTTTCTATCTTCTTAATTCTTGTTCTTTTATTGTTTTCTATCTTTAATAGTGTTTTTCTTTCTCGTATTCTCTAACACTCAGTAACCCCTTGTGTCTTAGTGGCTTTATTGCCTTGCTTGGCATGAAATGATTAAAAAAAATTATGAAGACCATAAATGGGTGCAAATGGTCTGGAAGAAGATTTATATATGCCCCACATGTCACGACAGACTCTAGGCACTAAAATGCCTAAAAAAATACATCCCATACTTTAACTATATATGTTTATACTTCAACACAATGATTACAAAAGCATATATATTTTGGTGTTTAAAAATTTTAATTTGATTTTATTAAACATCTTTGTGTCTATTTTTAAAGAAAATAATTCAGTCACATTCTCATTGCCATGATGTGGCTTCCCTGTGCCTTTTCTATAAATACTTTCATAGTAATTGTTCCGATGAATTTTCCCCTATGGTACCTAGACTTTATGAATTTAAGTGTAATATTAGGTTGGTGACAAGGTCACATCATTTTATAGTTGAAATGGCTAGATGGAACCGTAAGTTCTATGCTAACAGTTCCTTCCATGGCACTTCTCACTTGTGGAAATCTCTTCCAGCTTCTTGCTTCCCAGTCAACTTTGATCTTCAAAAGAATTATTGATCAGTATCTTTTGTCTTCTTAATTCTCGTTCTTTTATTGTTTTCTATCTTTAATAGTGTTTTTTTTCTTCTCATATTCTCTAGCATTCAGTAGCCCATTATGTCTTAGTGGCTTTATTGCCTTGCTTGGGGTAAAATGATTAATAAAAATTATGAAGAGCATAAAGTGGTGCAAATGGTCTGTAACAAGATTTTTATATGTCACACATGTCAAGACAGACTCTAGACACTAGTGGTCCAACGTGTCTTCTGAAATCCTCTTTAATTCTTTGTGTTTGTTGAGCAAAATCAAGATAACACTATATACGCATTTCTTTCTCATTCTCAACCAGTTACATTCACTGATGCACAAATAAACCTGGGAAAGGTAAGAATCCATCTTCTCCTACAAGCTATGGTTTAAATAGTAGGATTTATATTTGATAAAATCATAATTATTTTCTAAAATTGTTAATGCCATATTCACCCGTAAAAGAATTATTATTCTTACAATCTAAAATAGGTTTCGGTTTTAAATAACCCACAAAGGGTTGATAAACCGTAAAAACAAAACAATCAATCAATTTATCAATTCTCATTCTTAATAAGATGACCTTGCATTGCAATTGAATATTGATAAATACAATTGAAATGGCTAGATGTAACTATAAGTTTTATTCCAACCGTTTCTGCTATCGCACTTCTCGCTTGTGTAACTCTCTTCTGGCTTCTTGCTTCCCATTCAACTTTGATGTTCAAAAATTGAAATGCAACATCAATCATTATCTTCTGTCTTCTTAATTCTTATTCTTTTATTATCCTCTCTCCTTAATAGTATCTTTTCTCATATTCTCTAACACTCAGTAACCTCTTGCGTCTTAGTGGTTTTATTGTCTTGCTTGGGGTGAAATGATTAAAATAGAAAGAACTTTTAAAAAAAAATATGACATCTGAAAGTTGGTTGAAGCAGAACTAATATGGAAACAAATATAAGATCAGAAACGTTATAATGGTTGCGCAAAGAACACTTGAAAAGAGAAATTGAAACCTATTTGTCCAGAACAATTTTATAAGAATTATATTAAAGCCAAAGTAGAAAAGAGATTGAAATAGTTACAATCGAATTCAGAAATTGTTCAAAAGGCGTATAAAAGTAAGTATGATTGGCTAAAGACGATCTGGTGGAAACTGTGCAAATGATTAGGATTTAATCATACAAACCAATATTATATGCATACACCAGCAGCAGTCTAAAGAGAACACTTCTTCTTGAGTATAATTTTTCTTTTCAAGACGTAGGAGATCATGGCTCTCTACATCTTCCTCTTACGTTTAATATGTGTAAACTGTGCGCTAGAATGATTGTTCTTGGGGAAAGAGAGCGGCGAGATTTCTTGTTGCTTTCTCCACACTTCTGAATTTACAATTGTCGTTGTCCTTAATAGTTTTTCTCATATTCACTAACACTCAGTAACATTTTGCTTCTTAGTGTTTTTATTCCCTTCCTTGGGGTGAAATTATTAAAAAAAAATTAGCAAGAAAGTTGTACAGAATAGTACCAAGTAATATATTAAAATATAGAAACAGTTATAAAAAAAAAAATTGAAATTTTGTTAATTTTGCATCATTTGTATTATTTCATACAGAATCCATAATGAAGCGGCTAAAACTAAAATCACCTGAAGACTATCAAGTGATGCCGAAAATGTTGAGGTCATCTTCCAAGAAAGGTCATCAAATGAATCCGGATAGCAACAATTCCGCAGTGGACGCCCCTACATCGCCCCCTCCAAGAGCCAGTTGTGAAGATACCATGAATGTAAATCTCTCTTCTGCTTCTTTATATTCCACAAAGAACCTTTCTTTAGATCCAAACAGTCAAAGATTTGAAGCGCATGATGAATCTAAGAGAAACCCGCACGGCTTTCCCCACAAAAATAATGACAGTGAAATACCCTGGAAGCAGGTCAATGTGAAGCATGAAGATATCTGTCCTGCGGTGACCAGGAAAAAACACCCAAAGCTTTCTTATCTGGAGTCAAGCAAAGAAGAATGGCAAAAACCAGAGGTGATGTCCGTTGAACAAAATTTCAGCATTGAAACTAACTGTAACAATAATGGCTCAAATAGTTCGACAATGATAATTAAACAAGGACATGATCTTATACCACCTCTTCAATCAGTGTCAATAAAAAAATCTCACAGTAATCCTTCATTCGGTAATTCTGATATGTATCAAGCCAGTTCTTCAGTTCTTGATTCTACCGTAACAGAGGTTCCAAATCGGCCATTCACAAGTGCAGACTATATCAAATCTAGCACGGAAAAGAGTTCTCTCTACCAGCAAAACAATAACGCACTTCATACCTCTTGGACGAATGATGGCAAACTACAGGAAACCAATTCCAAGAAGCTAGAATCGCTTTCTATTCAAATCCAAGAGGAGCCCAACCAACACCTGAGTCAAACGTCAACAGGAAATCAAGAAGCTGCTGTTAGCATGAATCCAAATTTGGAGGTGCCCAACCACGAGGATTCATGCTTGAATTTATTACTCTCCGAGGACCACGATCATAACATCTCTCATCATGTGGAGGCAGCAGGGGAGACTCTCACTGAATTAGTCCCAAGTTCTCATCCTATACGAAACTCCTTACTCCCGATACCAACTCTCCCTTCCCAAAACTACAACTATTTTGCCCCATCTCAACACTTAGGCCCCAAACAAGATTATCTCAACCTTGGACCGCCCAAAACTGGTCATGATTTACAGCCGTGGATGACGATGGGTCTCCAAACGCCTCAACAACCAAATGTCTCTTCTTACCTTTGTCCTGGACCACAGATGTCCTATGGCAGCTCCCTACCACCTTACCCCCAGCAGCCAATGCCTCACACATCTGCAATGTGCTGGAATCAGAATTTATCGGTCTATGAAGGTGGTATGATACCTGGGCCGATGGCCTCATTCTCAGACGGAAGCTTAATGCCCGGTCATCTGATGAAGAATCAGTCTCAGGGTTGTTACTTCGTCCATTCGATGCTCCCATCTCCTTCGGCGCCATTTTCATTCCTCCCCAACCCAAATGCATCGCAGATGGGGCCCGCTCTGCAGAACATATCGATGAAGACCCCTTCCAAGGCAACCATGATAAGAATGCCGATGATTCGCCTTCCAGAAATATCGCCCGCGAGAAAAACTTCATCTCGGCCGGAAAACCAGCTTTTTCAAAAAGCCCTCAGCAGAATGGCATGACTTCAAAACGGGCAACAGTCTAGACAATTCCCAAGATGCTCAGCATCTGAACAAAAACACCAAACTGGTGGACCACAACAGAACGGATGAACTATTCGGCATCTTCCACGATTTCCAGATACCAAAATCTTTAAATGGCACCGTGAAAGGACAGTTCATATTAAGAAAATACATAGATTTCCTGATTCTGGAGAACGAGGGAATAACAGAAATATCCCAGGCATACACACCATCAACTCCGCTCTTTTCTTTAGAAGAGGATCAATATATTCTGGAGGCTGCAAGTACTAACGCTTCATTCCCAACTTCGAAACTAGAAAGATTTACTCAGATTCATTTCCCAAGCATCGATATGCAGAGGATTGACTTTTGGGAGTGCAAAGGTAACGTCTACATGCCTAGGAAACTGGATACAGATGTGGACAAAATACGCGATGTTTTCTTTTATTTTCAAACCCTACGCGGAACGAAGAGTAATGTGATGGACACGGCAATCTCTGAGGCCGAAACTTTAGTGATTTGAAACAGAATTGCTAGCAGTTGGCGAGAGAAAATTTGCGTTTGTTTATTTGACTGCTTTGTTTCCTGTTGATTCGTTTAAGAAACTCTATCGACACTTCAGATCTTGATCGGTAAGGAAGTGTTGGATTTAGGTTTTTTTTTTACCCTATTTCACTTTTTTTTTTTTTTTACAAACAATTTATATTTATTTGTGTTTGCAAAATCTTTCTCTTAATGTTGGAGTTTCACTTGTCTAAAAGGAAAAAAAAAACAAACGTTATAAAATTTAAATGCTTCTGTACGTTTTTCTTAAAAAATGTTTTTCTCAATAAATTTCAAGAACACTAATCAAAATTATATATTTGTGTTAATGTTGGCAATATTTTTAAGACTAAAGTAACAGATGGAAGTCGGATAAATATCGCTTTTCCCGATGCTTTTTATGTCTATAAGGGCATAACATTACCATCATCATTGTCATCATCATCGCTTAACTTCACAAAGATTCTTCCCACATCTATTGTGGAAGTGTAGAACAGCCCTCATATTTGTGCTGGAAATGTCTGAACCGTATACAAAGTTGGTTATTTTGGATTTATGAAAAAGGGTAGAGGTGGGGGTGATTTTTGCCCATCAAATTTAGAATACCACAGAGCTTCAAATAATGTCGTCAATTGCTTGAAACTTTACGGGGTTTTTTTTTATTTATTTTTTTTACTTCTTATCTTTCATTTTATTTTTTAATTCTAGAACTAGTGATATCATCAAACGTTTGAAAAATAAATAAACGAAATACTTCAATGCAACAGCTTCGTTTACAAAGCAAAGAATTCATGCACCTTGAAATATTTGTGCACTGAAGTCACAAAGTGCCTGTTAAAGGTTAAAATAAGGCTATATGCATATGTTTAACATTTCAAAAATCCCCATGCCAGCAAAAATATACTGACGTCTGAAATAAAAGAAATATACTCTATATTCACAATTACCTTTAGAACAATTCAGCAAATTCTTTTCACTAAAGTCTATTTTTAGTAACATATCTGAAGTTTCAAATCAATACCTCAGACACAAATGAAGTAGTATCAATCAAAATTTGTGTACGGACAAAAAGATACCCTCTGCGTCAGATAGCGTTAAAGAGACTTGATGCATAACTGAACCCACAGTTTAAACCAATAGTTTACATGTCATAATTCACTGGGATGAGATAAAGGAAGTAATCTCCTAAGGTTGTGGTTTTCTATTAGAGTGTCCTTCTTCTAGACACTTACCAATGTCTTCTACTTCTTTAAGATTCTATAGCTGACCTGGATGCTTTCATAGTGTGGTGCTGGCTTACACACACACATACACACGCACACACAGACACACACATTACGGTTTAATGCATGCATAAATTCCTTGACCTTGCATTTAAAAAAAAGATGATTTCTAGGGATATATAGATACTTATATCCTCATTGGGGCTTGAGTTCATCAGCAAAGATTTAGGATAGATATTCACATCTGCTGTAAGTTTATGCGCACATATATACACACGCATATATAGATAGGTAAATAGATACATACCTGCATATATATATATATATATATATATATATATATTTATCCGTTTATATATATATATATATATATATATATAAAATATATAACATTATAAGTCAATATATATGAGGCGACAATCTGTTTCAGGCTAGACGCAATCGTCAGGTGGCTTGGCGATTGCATCTAGCATGAAACAGACTGTTGACTTCAATGTTCACTTTTACACACGCTCTATCTCTGATATTGAGCCCTTTATCCTATAAATATAGCACACCTTAAGACTATATTTTTTCATATATATATATATATATATATATATAGAGAGAGAGAGAGAGAGAGGGAGAGGCAGTGTGGATATTGGTAGGAATCAACGCTGCATGCTGTCAGTTGCTCTGAATATGACACAGAGGTGTGAAACTGACAATCACCATGCTGTGTTGATACATATGTCTACAATAGTAAGCACTTTCACCTACAGATATATCCAGTTTTAAACAACATGCGCACACGCACATATATATATATATATATATATATATATATACTTTATAAAAGTATATATATATATATATATATATATATATATATATATATATATATATATATATATATATATATATATATATATATTAAATTATTTTAAACAAAAATATATTTCCATAGTGACAAAGAAATTACTATGTTTCGAAACCGAAACTTAAATCTTAAAATTTAACTTTTAAATTTAAACTTAAAATTCAGAGTTCGGTTCCATTCTCAAGCGATGCTAAGAATAACTTACGAAAAAATTGGATTTAATCTATTTTTAAGTTAAGTTGGTGGTGTTAAAATAATTCCCATTATTTTATTAAGTGGGTGTTGGCTTTTTTATGAATGAAGAAAGCAAGTGTATCTTTGCGTGACAAATCTAAAGTCGGTTATGGTTCGATGGGGTTTAGCATCGCTTGAGAATGGAACCAAGTTCCGAATTTTAAGTTTAAATTTTAAAGTTAAATTGTAAAGTTTTAAGTTTTGGTTTCGAAACAGTAATTTCTGTGTCGTGGTGGAGGCATGTTTTTTAAAAAAATAATTATAATATCTCCCCCCCCCAATAGAATGTCTGACGCTCAACTCCACGAGAGCACCTCTTCGCGACTACTCGGTCTCACGTTGACTGCTGACCTGAGATGCAACAAATACATTGAGTCAATAGCTTCGTCCACCGCAAGGAAATTTGGCTCCCTATGCCACGCCAGGAAATTTTTCTCGCCGGAGTCGATCCTTCAAATCTACAAATCAACTATTTGCCCTTGCATGGAATATTGCCGCCATATATGGTCTGGAGCCTTTTCTGTTTGTCTCAAGGTTCTTGATTATATATCAACCAATACACGGGCAAACAATAATGATAGTCTGTTTTCGTTGCATGAAATTAGTCGTTGCTTTAAAATTTTTCATACAACAAAAACAGATTATCATTATTGTTTGTCCGTGTATTGGTTGATATATTGAAAAGTAATTGTCATCTTTGATAATGGCTTATGTAAGCCGAAAGCTTAGATTGGATTTAAACATGTATCAATATGGTGATTTCCTTTCGTCTTTCAATGATAATGTTATAAAGCTTATCAGACAATATGAAAGGAACTTACTTAAAATAAATAGACAAAACTTGTCTATATTATTTAATGAAACATGCATTATATATATATATATATATATATATATATATATATATATATATATATATATATCAAAGTCGACATTGATATCAAAACCAGCGGCGACAGCCTGTTTCACGCTTCAACGCAATCGTCAGATCATGTACGTTGTATTTTGGTTCAGATATTTATATATATTCGCTAGCTAGTGATGCATTATGAGTAAGTCTATTGTATTATTCTAACGATTAGTGGGTGGGCGGTAATGGCTATGCTCAAATTATTCTAGGAGTTATTGAATGGAAATAATTGTGGATCCGAATGCAGTTCTGTTGCTATTTTATGGTGTTATTTTTTAACTTTATTAATGATTGCTTTCTTATTCGTTGTTAGTTATTATTATTACGTTTGTTTATGTTTATGCGGGCATTCGTAGATTCTGAATTTATTTATTATTTATTCAATCCATTCACTTAGTGATTTGAATTAATTTATTATACTTCTTTATTTTTTATTTTTATTTCCTTGTTCGTTTTTAGTTTTTGATTTTAAGTAACGCAATAAAAATTTGTTTTTGTGTCTGCATTTTGAGATGAGTTCTGATCGTTTACTTTGTAATTTGTGTTGGTCTGAGAAGGTAATTATATCTATTTCCTCCTCCAGACAGAGTTTACATTTTGGGGAGTAACTGTTGCAAGCTAAGACTGATTTCCTTATTTTGCATAATATTTTTGGTGTCATCTGGTTTTTGTTTTTAATTACCTAAACATGTTTAGAAAGCATTGTGCTCTTATTATTTGTAAATAATACGTATTTATCATTTGTAAAGGATGTTTTGTGTGCGTAGTTTCTTTGTTTCCATGGTTCTCCATTTACTACTATGTATATTTTTTCTTCGTTATCTGCTAATTTTACAGTGGCTTGATATATTACATTGTTTTGTAAGCAATTTCCATTTAAGGAACATTCGTGCTTTTCTCTGAAGTTACACGTGGGTTTGATTGTGTTAGTGGGCCGTTGGTTGTTTTCTTGTGTTTTTTATTATTTGTGTCATGTTCTAAAAAGTAAACTTATTCAATAAAATCCCCAAGGCAAGGAGACCGTGCAGAAGAGTTGCAGGAGATTCTGAAGTCATCTGGAAGACGTGGTAGAAGCCAATGTCGACTTTATTGAATAAATTTATTGTTTATTATTTCAAGATATTTTTCTGTAATCTCGATAAATATATCTCTTAAAATGAAATGTCAGTTTATCCATCGTACACAGTCCCGCTCTCTCTCTCTCTCTCTCTCTCTCTCTCTCTCTCTCTCT